GCGGCTGACAAATGATAAAAAGCTAACATATTACACCTAGTTAAAATTTAATTAAAACGAAATATTTGAGAATGTCCAATTTAAAAGTAATTAAAACCCCTATAAAATCCCCTAGGCCAGTCCCGCTTGCTGGAACAACCACGTCTTGAGGGCGCGGCGGAAGGAAGGGAGATCAGGAATCACCCTGATCTCTGGGGGCTGCTGGAGATTGTGAGTTCTCTATCCAACCTGAATCTGTCTTTTCCTTGAAGAAAGAGGAGGAATTGGACAAATAGCTAGGAGCACCTCAATCCCTTACAGATATGGTGCTTGGGCTGCATTCATATGGAAGAAGTAACATAGTGGGTGCCTCGGTACAGCCTAGCATGGCCCAGGACCATAATCTCATACTAACCCTATTCCTTCAAGCGTCCTACAATTTGCAGTAAGCATCTATAGCGACAGTGTCCAACCTTGGCAACTTTAAGACCTGTGGACTTCAACTCCCAGAGCTCCCGAGCCACCATGTTTCACTGGGGAATTCTGGGAATTGAAGTCCACCTTAAAGTTGCTACGGTTGGACACCCCTGATCTAGAGTTCAGTGTCCTGAATGGAGATGGTCATGATATCCTGTGTTAATAATGTACATCGTCTTTCTTCCCTTCATCCCCTTTGCCTGGAGAGATTCTTCAGAATGACTTACTGCCTTTATCTGAGTGCAGAGCAGCTTCTGTAAACGTAGCCACTATTATGTCTATTATAACAGGGGTCGCCAACCCCCAGTCCGTGGACCTGTACCGGGCTGCGGCCTGCCAACAACCGGTCCGCACAAACAAGCAAAGCCCCATCCGTGGGATGCAGGCAGCACACAAAACCATGCCCTCTCCGGTCCACGGAAAAACTTCTCTCCACGGAACTGGTCCCTAGTGCCCAAAAGGTTGGGGACCTCTGTATTACAATCTGGATTGGGGGGAAAAAACACTATTTTTTTTTCCTTTTTAGGAAGGGTATTATGGCTACGAAACCTGCTTGGGCTGCCAGAGGTGCGACTGTGACATTGGATCGGTGAGCCCCAATTGCCATGCCCAGAATGGCCAGTGTGATTGCGGTCCGGGCGTCAGCGGTTCTCGTTGCCAGCAGTGCTCCCCTGGATACTGGGGTCTCAGTGGAGATGGCTGCTTGAGTGAGTTCCTTTTGTAATGTTTAGGCCTTGCTAATAAAAAAGCTCAGATTTCCACACACACCTGGGCCTAAAACAGAGAGTGCATACTTGGTCTTGTCGCTAAATCATTTGTTCTCAGTTCCCTGTATCTGCTCATTGCTATCTAACGCCCGGAAGAGTCATTTCTCCAATATTATTGTCAAGCAAGCTCAATTTGTTGCAAGTACAAATAGTTCGGCAGAGACATCACCCTGCCAACAAAAGTACGTATAGTCAAGGCCATGGTTTTCCCAGTTGCAATGTATGGCTGTGAAAGTTAGACTATAAGAAAGGCTGAGCGCCAAAGAATTGAGGCCTTTGAACTATGGTGCTGGAGAAGACTCCTGCAAGTCCCCTGGACTGCAAGGCGATCAAACCGGTCAGTCCTAGAGGAGATCAACCCCGACTGCTCTTTAGAAGGCCAGATCCTGAAGTTGAAACTCAAGTACTTTGGCCACCTAATGAGAAGGAAGGACTCACTGGAGAAGAGCCTGATGCTGGGAAAGATTGAGGGCAAGAGAAGAAGGGGACGACAGAGAATGAGGTGGCTGGATGGAGTCACTGAAGCAGTAGGCGTGAGCTTCAATGGACTCCAGAAGATGGCAGAGGACAGGAAAGCCAGGAGGAACGTTGTCCATGGGGTCGCGATGAGTTGGACACGACTTCGCAACTAACAACAACAACAAATAGTTCTCGACATACAACTATTTGTTTAGTGACCCTCCAAAGTTTCAGTGGTGGTGAAAAAAGTGACTTAGGACCAGTTTTCACATTGTTGCAGCATCCCTGCAGTCACGTAATCAAACGGTAGCATGCGTTTACGGTGATTGTAGCATCCCGGGGTCCTGGAATTGTTATCTGCAACCTTAGGGAGTTTCTGACAAACCAAGTCAGTGGGAGAAACCAGATTCACTTAGCGATCTTGGGATTCACATAACCGTTGTAGTGATTCGCTTAACATTCTGGCAAAATGGTCGTAAAATGGGACGTGGTTCACTTAACAGCTTTCTTGCTAAGCAACTGAAATTTTGGGCTTAGTTGTAATTGTAAGTTGAAGACTACTGGTAGGGCAGCAGGATTAATTTATTAGTACAATGGCCAAAACACCAAAGCCTTTACATACCCGTACTTCGATACAAAAATGTAGGGAATGTGTAGTCTGGATTCCCAGGAGGGGAGGATTGAATTCCAGAAGAGCAAGAAACACTGTTGTGAGAGAAAGAGGGTAAAAACGGCTCCTCCCTACTAGTTCCAAGAGAATATGTTTTATGGTGCAAGTAGTCTGTTTTACCTCAGTGAGAGAATAGAATAGAATAGAATAGAATAGAATAGAATAGAATAGAATAGAATAGAATAGAATAGAACAGTGATGGCGAACCTTTTAGAGACCGAGTGCCCAAAAACTGGCCCCGCCCCACTCCACCCCTGCCCCGCCCCCACTCCGCCCCCACCCTGTCCCCTGCCCTGCCTGCCTGCAGGGCCACTCACCACCTCCAGGGCCTGCCACAGATTGCCCAGGCAGCCCAGTAGCAACATGGCGGCCACGCCCTCTGCCTGCACCCCGCATCAACTGTGCACGATGAGGTGTAGGGCAGAGTCTTATCCACACTGCCTGGCTGCCATGTCCTTGGCTGTGCTGCTCCATGTGGGCCACGCTCGGGGGTGACTCTCCTCCAGGGGGGCTGCTGGAGAGGAGGGGGTCACGGGGGGAGGCGAGGCTGGGGCAACGGCATGTGTGCCCACAGAGAGGGCTCCGAGTGCTGCCTCTGGCACGCGTGCCATAGGTTCGCCACCACTGATCTATCATGACTAGTGGGAATTCAGTTCATTGTTGTCCATATCGCACAAAACAGATCAAATTCAGATGGTTTTTCCACCAGGCAGGGAAAATTTTTCTATCCACATGTTGTGAGTGTCGAACCTCTGAGGATGCATGGAGATAATTCCACACTGGTGGAATCCTGCTTGTAAATCTTTGTTCTTCGATGTTCTCTCAACAGAATGCCAATGTAAAGGAGGTTCCTGCAACCCTCGCACAGGTGAATGCACCTGTACCAACGGCCTGACAGGGAAGCAATGTGACACATGTATAAAAAAACATGAGATCCCGGTGGTGGATGGTCCAGACAACATGAGATGTGAAGGTTAGGCTTCTTCTTTCCTTCAGTGCCTTGGTCCCAGCTATTGTCTGTTTTGGGGGTCTTTCTGTAATTCTCCATACTGGCTAATGTCGATTGCAGGAATCTCAGTCCTATCTGTCCTGCTAGCCAAACTGAGAATGACCCATGTATCTAGTAACGCTTTCACTTGGGTCCAGGTGCTGAGTGGGTTCGAGAAATTTTATGAGGGTTGACAGAATGATTAGGCAACTGTAGATAAGTGGTTAGCTCGGTGTGTTAATAATGTAGTCTTGCTTCTATAGTTCTTCCTGAAAATATGGACTGCTGAAATTTTGGTTTATCAATAGAAGAGAATATTTGTTAGGTCAGGGTTGAACTGTGGGGTCCCTGAGGTTGGCTGTTTTCTTGCAGTCATTTCATTATCCATGAAATGTCTGCAAGAAAACAACCAAGCTCGGAGAGCACCAAGCACTCCACAATTACAGTAGCTTCATCTTGATCCTATTGATATCAGCTGTCCTATGGCTTATCCCAAAGGTGCTTTTCCAAAAGGCAACTGGATTTTTATTGGTTTTCTTTTTTCCTTGAAAACATTTTGATTCTCATCCAAGAAGCTTGTTCAGTTCTAACTGATGGGTGGGGAATGGAAGGATTTATATTCTTTGCAGTCATCCGGCCATTAGCACTCTGATAGGTAGAACATAGAACCAGAATAATAGAGTTGGAAGGGACCTTGGAGGTCTTCTAGTCCAACCCCCTGCTCCAGCAGGAGACCCACTATTTGAGGGGCTTCAGATAAATGGTTGTCCAGTCTCTTTTTGAAAGCCTCCAGTGATGGAGCATCCACAACATCTTGAAGGCAAGCAATTCCATTGGTTGATTGCTCTCACCCTTAGGACACTTTTCTTTAGTTCTAGATTGCTTCTCTCCTTGGTTAATTTTCATCCATTGTTTCTTGTTTTGCCTTTTGGTGCTTTGGAAAATAGATTGACCCCCCCCCCTCATCTTTGTAGGAGCCCCACAAATACTGGAACACTGCTATCATGTCTCCCCTAGTCCTTCTTTTCATTAGACTAGACATACCCAACTCCTGTAACTGCGCTTTCTATTTGTTGGTCATTAGCTCTCTCAAGAATATAAACCCTTCCATTCTCCACCTGTCAGTTGGAACTGAAGAAGCTTCTTGGATGAGAAGCAAAACATCTTCAAGGGGAAAAAAAATCAAAAAAGTTCAGTTGTCTTTTGGAAAGACACCTTCGGGACAGTCTATGATGGCTTACTTTCCTCTCTCATTAACAGCTTGTGATAGCTGTGTGCTGCTCCTGTTAGAAGATCTCCAGAAGATTGACAGCGACTTCCCTGCCCTCGAACATCAGTTGAAAAGTCTCAACACCACCTCAATTGCCTGGGCCCGCCTGCACAGCATCAACGGCTCTATGCAAACCATTACCGTATGTGGAGCTTTCCAGCTAATTATTCCTCTTCCAACTGCTCCACAAAATTCTAGATTTACTTTGCACTTGCTTTTTTTTCTCACAGAGCCAAGTGCGCGACTATCAGAGGTTTATATACAAAGTGAGGCAAAATGCTGATGAGCTGGAAGAGGAGAACGCGGATTTTGTTCAGGATCTGAATGCACTTCAGCACAAGGTGCAACATATTTTTTTCCCTTTCCTTTTCCTACATTTGTACAGGTAGTCCTCGACTTACAATAGTTCATTTCGTGACCATTTGAAGCTACAATGGCACCGAAAAAAGGGACATGATCATTTTTCACACTTATGACCGTTGCGGCGCCCCTAAGATCACGAGATCAAAATTCAGACGTTTGGCAACTGGTTCATATTTATGATGCTTGCGGTGTCCCTGGGTTATGTGATCCCCTTTTGCGACCTTCTTTTTTTTTTTTTATGTATAAAATTTTTATTATTTTCATCATAAAAAAAACATCACAAATATTACACAATGCTATGAAAAAAAACCCACCCCCCACCCCCCCGGACTTCCCAAACCTAATCCCAGGATAATATTCAGATATAAGTAAACAAGTATTAATATCTCTAACTCCACAAAATGTATTATTCTACATATATAGGTAAAATATATTAAAAAGAAAAAAAAGAAAAACAAATTTACTAAAAACCTAGATTATATTCCACCACTCTATGCTTCTTTTGAATATAAACAATCCATCTTCTCCATATTAATAAAAATTGTTCGTTTGAATGATTCTTCAAGTAAGCCGAAATCTTTGCCATTTCAGCAAGGTTCGAAACTTTCAATCTCCAG